CGATTCAGCCCCCCTGAGCTGCCCCCCCACCCCACCCCCATGCCCTGGTCATAATCTGGCACCTGGGTCTGAAGGGCATCATCCTCAGGGGCTGCTGGGACTGCCATCCACCAAGGGCCCTCGCCCCATCCTGGGTCTGTGACCTACCAGGTGACACCTGGCTGCTTTGTACATCCAATTTTCCAACACTGCCCCCGCCGTGTCCAATGAGCTGTGACTCGTGTCTGGCTCACGCTGCTGCACAATAATGGGCCAGAGGGCCCTTGGTGATGCCCACACAGTGCCAGCATGCCTCCTCTTCCTTAATTCTCCCTTCTCCTCAACCGTCAACTGCCATCACCATCATCCCCTTCGCTGACAATCTGGCCTCTGTGTCCCCAAGAAAACAGGAGTGGGGGACGAGACGTCCACCCTTGCACTGCTGGCTGCTTCAGTGGATGGTCCATCTCCCTCCAAGGCCACCATCCAGGGCCAGGGACGCCCAGCCTCTTGCCTGTTCAGGACGTTCTGATCAAGGAGAGAGACCTTCTTTCTCCGGCCCTCCGCACCAGCCGCCCACTTCTTGCCTCCCTTGCAGCAGAACCCCTCCATTCTCCACCCCACCCCACTCTGGGGTCCTCCACCCACTACTCCCCTAGACCACTACTGTTTGGCTCAAACAAGGCTTTCTCGGTGCTAAATCCAGGGTCACCTCCCCTTCTTTTTTCTTTTTTTAAAAAAAGCTTTATTGAGACAGAATTTACATACCATACAATTTGCCCATTCACCCTGTATAATGAAATGTTTTAGTCCATTCACAGAGTTGTTCAATCATTACCACAGTCAGTTTTAGAACATTTCCATTACCCCCAAAAGAAGCCTTACACTGAACCCAGGAACCCCTGAAGCATCCGTCAGTCTACTCTGCATTTTTTAAAAATTAAGAATTAGTATTTATTGAACAAGAAACAACAACAGATCTTGAAAACAAAAATATGATGAATGACATTTTAAACCTGCACCAGAAATACTGGGGACAAGTCAAGAGCAAATTGTTAATATGATATAGAGTGGACTTCTCCAAAATTAGGTAAAATGTTCAGAATGTATGAAATGAAATTTAAAAAAACGTGTGATAAATGCAGAAATTCCAATATGTGACCAATTGTTGGTCGAGAGCAGAAAATAGAGTGGAGGGGAAGTAATAATGAATACTATATATACACTTTTCTTTAAAAAATATTTTTATTGATTTCAGAGAGGTAGGGAGAGGGAGAGAGAAATATCAATGGTGAGAGAGAATCATTGATTGGCTGCCTCCTATACGCCCCCTACTGGAGATCAAGCCCACAACCCAGGCATGTGCCCTGACCAGGAATTGAACTGTGACCTCCTGGTTCATAGGTCAACACTCAAACACTGACCCACACCGGCCAGGCTTTCCCCACTTTTCTTTTTTAAATATATTTTTATTTTATTATTATTTTTTAATATTTTATTGATTTTTTTACAGAGAGGAAGGGAGAAGGATAGAGAGTTGGAAACATCGATCAGCTGCCTCCTAGGCTGACGCCCTGTCCACGGAGCCAAACGGGTTAGGGCTAAATATATTTTTATTGATTTCAGAGAGGAAGAAAGAGGGAGAGAGAGAAACATCAATAATGAGAAAGAATCATTGATCAGCTGCCTCCTGGGGACCCTCACTGGGGATCGAGCCCGCAACCCGGGCATGTGGACTGACCAGGAATTGAACCCTGACCTCCTGGTTCATAGGTTGATGCTTAACCACTGAGCCACACTTGGCGAGGCCCCACTTTTCAATGGAAGAACAGTTCCTATACATGAGACTGTACTTGCCACTCAATCGGACGCTGAAGTTCTAAGTATTTTTTCAAGTCATCCAAAATGTGTTAGGCAAGTCTTTCTGCTCAGTCCTGCCTGCTGGCCCCGGTGAAGAACACAGGGAGAGAGCCGTCATCTGTCCTGAACTGGCTGAGCATGCAGGCTTCGCAAGGCTGTTAGACTCAGCAGGTCCGGCTGGATCGAGCACCAATTGTTTCCCCAGGCAGCTGTGGGACTTCTTCTACAACAATTGGGTCTTCACCGCTGGATCCACAGGGAGACCGATTCTGGATCCACCAGGAGAGCCACCATAAGGACCATAATTACGGCAGACAGGCCCAGGCGGATGCGGTTCCCCATGGCGTGATCTGTTGATGTGGCACCTGGGGAATCTGTCACCCACATCGAGAGCTGATCACAGAAAGGAGCCCTGTGTGTTAGCACACACAGCTGTGGTCCCCAGGGCCACTGACCATCACACTTCGAAGGTAGAAGTCTGCCTCCATCCCTACTAGATCGGGAGCTGTGTGGGTGTTGAAGTTCCTTTCTTCAGAAGAGCAGACTTGTTAGATTCAATCACAGGCCTGGGCTTCCAGCACTGCAGAATCAGGTTTTCTCCTGCGGTCGCCTGACCCCTTTGGTGGGCTTGGAGGGAAGGTTTAGGTAAATCCATCTCTTCTTGTGTCTCTTTGGCCAACACACAGCCCAAATAATAGGAGGGAAAGGAATTCAGGGCTCGTGCTGACGCTGACGCTTGATCCAAGGACCCGGCTTCAGTTTTACAACCACAGGAGGAAGGAAAGCTTGATGGGGGTGGTGGCATCTTCGCTCTGCTCTGCACTTTTGGAAAAAAAAATTTATGAGTCTATTTGAGCCAAACTGAAGCCATATGCCAGGAAGCAAGTTATCAAATGCTCCTCTGCTCCCCATTCTTGATGTTCTTCACTCCACCTCTTGGTGCTTCCTGCTTGGTCTCTGGCCTCCCCACCAGCCGCCCCCTCCCCTAGGGCCCTTTCACTTAATCCACCCCAACCTCCAAGGCTCTCTGCTGGCTCGAAGTGCTTCTAAGCGAAATGTCATTCTTCTAAAATATCCCAAATCAACCCCCAGGCCCACTACCTCTCCCAAGCATTTGTCCATCAGACGTGATGGCAACTCAGGGTGAAAACCTTGGGAAACTCCAGGAAGCCCCCTCGCTCCCCTTTTCCTGCTTATTCTCCAGGAAACATCCAGAATCCATCTCAGTTACTGGCTGCCCTCACCTCCCACCTTCCTCCCTCGCCTGACTCTTTCCCCACAGCGGTGACCTGAAACTGGAAAGTCTAACTCTGATATCTACAGAGGCCAACGACCCCTCCCCCCAAAAAATACTAACATTGTTTTTGATGAAGGAGGGGCACTTGTTCATAAAACAGTCCAGAATCACCAGGAAAGCTCTGATAAAAAGGCATGGGCAAAGGTAAGATCCCTAAAGGCATTAAACGTACGATAGCCCTACCCAGTTTGGCTCAGTGGATAGAGCGTCGGCCTGCAGACTGAAGGATCCCAGGTTCGATTCTAGTCAAGGGCACATGCCTGGGTTGTGGGCTCGATCCCCAGTAGGGGGCGTGCAGGAGGCAGCCAATCAATGATTCTCTCTCATCATTGATGTTTCTCTCCCTGTCTCTTCCTCTCTGAAATCAATAAAAGTATATTTTTTTAAAGTACTATAAAAGTACAGGAATTAAAACTGTGGGGGAACACAGCCAAAGCATCTCCCTGAGGTCCCCAGGAGGGAAGGGAGGACTGTTGGAACACGGTGGGACCCTTGGTAACCATCTGGAGGGTATCTCGCAACAGTTCCCAGGGCAAACTCCAGTGGTTCAAAAATGGTGACGCAGAAGTGGAAACTGTGAACTCCGACCAGAGCCAGAAATGGGACACTGTCATCTGGCAATTGAACTATGTATTAGAAGAGTCCAGAAGCCAGGAACCTCCTTCTGCTTGTCTAAAGGACGGACAGGCAAAACCAGAAAACCACAGACACATGGAGATCCATGTAGGGCTTATCTGTAACCTCACAGATAAAGAGCTCCTGCTGGTTCAGCGAGAGAAAGAGCAGTGATCCCCAGGAAAAGCAGTGAGGATAGGGTCAGTGCTCCAGGAAGGGTCAGCCAGTGGCTCCAGCCCAAGGGAAGGATGAATTAAAGTGACCTAAACTGTCATCTCCAGGAAAGTCTTCTTTCTTTCTTTTTTATATAATATATTTTATTGATGTTTTACAGAGAAGAAGGGAGAGGGATAGAGAGAGAAACATTGATGAGAGAGAAACATCGATCATCTGCCTCCTGCACACCCCCTACTGGGGATGTGCCCGCAACCAAGGTACATGCCCTTGACCTGAATCGAACCTGGGACCCTTCAGTCCGCAGGCCAACGCTCTATCCACTGAGCCAAACCGGTTAGGGCAAAGTCTTCGTTCTTATGTGAAAGAGTGTCTGCTAGTGTCTATAAGATTATATCCCAGGATGTCTAGATCATGAGAACATATTACTGGTTCAAGAAATTTAAGACGCCCGGCTGCTGTGGGTCAGTGGTTGAACGTTGACCCATGAACCCGGAGGCCATATTCAATTCCCAGTCAGGGCACATGCCCGGGGTTGTGGGCTCAATCCCCAGTAGGGGGCGTGCAGGAGGCAGCTGATCAATGATTTTCTCTCATCATTGATGTTTCTCTCCCTCTCTCTTCCTCTCTGAAATAAAAACAAAAACAAAAACATGGAATGAAAATAAGGGCTCAGCAGTGTAGACAGATGGTGGACGGAGAATGACAGGGCAGGGAAGCCTGTCCAATGGGGCCATGAGCCAGCCGGCGCCACTGGAGCGGGCCAGCCTGCCTTGGAGGGTGGCAGAGGCTCTGGCAGGTCTGCATTTTTGGAGGGAGGAGGATCAAGTGCAGGGTTGATCCCGGTTGAGGAGGTGGGAGCACGTCAGGCAGAGGTGGGTAGGTGGTGTTTGCACTCCAGTGGCCGGCCAGGGCCCAGGGTGGGAGGGAAAGGGAAGGAGAGAGTTTAATTGCAGGGAGGAGCCAGACTAGGAACTAGGCTGGGAAAGGGGATGTGGACGGCAAGGCAGGCGGGTCAGGGCGTACGTGGGAGCGTGGGGTCCCTAGGCTAACCGGGGCGGGTTTTGGCCCCCAGGAAGCCGCTGAGGAACGGTTTGGTGAAGGACAAGCGCTTCTGAACCCTTCGACGCCCGTCCCGCTCCCCCGGACCTCACCCTGCCCCACCTTGCCCCCTGGGACGGCTCCCTG